AGAGTAGGAAGCTCTCATAATATTCTATAACCTAAAGTTGGAGAAGTTTGAGAAAAGTCAAGTCTGGATTTAGAGATAGTTGCAGAAAGAAATTTCAGTGCCATACCAGAACTTTTTCTGGGTAGCTGAAGTAGTGACCAAAAGCCTTACTTTCATGGTGTCGAGATGGAGAGTCAGCCAAGGCCATGGTGTGTTGTGCTGAAAGGGCCTAATTGTTATGAAACCGCTGGGGGAATACCCTGCATTGTTGTTCACTGCACTTTCACTTACGTTGCAGTAGGTCTTGAAGGCACTAGTGAAATCTGGATATCACTCCCTTCTACCTTACACTAGTACTGCTTACCTCACTCAGCTTGGAGTGCAAGTCCAGGATTCTTTTATATATTACCCAGTCAGGCTCCTGCTTCACAAAAGCAGGCATCTTTCAAGTCTGTTCTCTATTCATTTCGGTTTGGCCTGTGCTGTATCAAGAAGAAATTGCTTTACATTTTTAAGATGTCGATGCCATTCTTTCCTCTCTCTGGTATTGAAGCAAGTTTTACTCAACAACCATTCATTCTTTCATTCATTCATTCATTCATAACATGTATAATGAGTGCCTGTTAAGTGTGGAATACTATTAAGCATTGAAGAGCTTGCTGTGAAGCCATGTAATTGGGATCATTTTAGGGGAAATAGATCTTTGCTGTCATAATTTGCCTTGGGAAAAATTAGCAGAGAGATTGGGATACTGACGCCCTGTCTTTCTCAACTGTGATCTTTCCTGTGACTTTATTGCAGCTTACGAGCTGCGTGGAATAGTTTAGCTACTACTATTGTTACTGTTATTATTTCCTGATTGATGACATTTAGTTATGATGTAAGCTGAGTGGTGGGTAGAGTCAAGTTAAAAATTAAAATAATAACAGAGGTTTAAAGTAGAATTACTTAGGGATTTAGTGAATGTTTGAGAAGTTAGGTGCTATCTTTTAGATGAGATATGGCTAGATGGTTTTAGACCACACACACAAAACCTCACCATAGGTCTAGACTGGCTCCCCTGCTGATTTAATGGAAGATAGCAAACTTGTTGGGGAATGTGTTCCCACATAGAGCTGGTATCAATGAAGCACAGTTTCATCCAGCTTACATCAGGAGATACGGAAAGGAGGCCTATACTTGAAGGTGACACTATTTGTCAGGGAATGGGCTTTACTGAATCTGGTATCCTTAAGTCACTTGTGTTGTCTGAAGACAACTTTACTCTCCCCACTCCATCTACCCCCAAATGAAGAATGCAGCTTTGCTGGGTTTGAAAACATGGTAGAACACCACTCATACGTGTATCTGGAAATGAATTATGTAACATTGTAATATAAAATCATCACTTACACAGAATGGCAGCAATGGGGAGCTCTGCAGATTTACTATCCAGTGAAACAACCATACCTGGTAGAAATTATAAAAAACAACAATCACTTAAAGTCTCAGGAAATTGTGCTGAGGGC